CGGAACCTTGCGCAGTACGAGCGCTATTGTTGGATCCTTTGAATGGTGGGATTTCCGGGATACGCATGGCGATTCGGGAACTGGAGGAGGATGGTTTACCTGCGGCTAAGGATCCGGCGGGTTTCGTGGTGGTGTTGCTGCCAGTACCGTTAACCGCCGCCGCTGGAGGCGCCTTGTCCTTCTCCTTGCCGCCGTCTTTGCCATCCCCTCCAGGGGCACCACTCCACTTGGGCGGAACTTTGAATTCCCTTCCAAAAGCCACTAAATCAGCCAACCGACGTTCCCGCTCGGTTTTTGAAATGTCTGCTTTTACGGCGGCGATTTTGCTTCTTTCAGCATCTGCGAAACGGCGGAGCGAGTGGGTGATGTCTGTTCGTGCTGAAGGTGCAGGAGCGGGCGCAGCAGCGGGTGAGGCGGAAGTGGTAAGAGGTGTGTTGGTCAGAGGTGATCCGGTGGTGTTGGTAGGTTTTTCTGCAGAAGGTGTGGTCGTGTTTGCAGTGGTGACTGGTAGTTTGACAGGTGTACCAGCATTACTAGGCGCCTGCAAAGCGATTGCGGGAACCGCCGCGGCCGGCGGCGTCGCCTTCTTCTTGATATCCTTTTCCCCTGCAGCATCACCCGCCCTTGCACCAGGCGGAACATACGCGCCCTTGCCCCTCCCTGGAACCACCTTTATCGTGTTCACCTCTGCAGTCCCACGGACAACACCGCTAAACCTCTCTTCCTCATCGCCGGCGCCAATCAACGCCTGTCCTCGCTCTTCCCTGACATGCGGATTATCACTGACACCTTGCTCAATCTCCCGAGCAAGACGTTCTGCTTCGCGTTCCCTTTCCCTAAAGTTGTGCGAGGAGCGATTAAGCCGGGTGGTGTAGAGGTCTTCGCTGTATGGTGTAGTTTTTGGCTGGCCGAATAGTTTGGCGTTTGTTGCGAATTGGTCCCATCCGCCGGCATGACCTCCGCTTCCCTTGCCTGTGCCAAGAGCGAGACCTCCTGCTCCTCCTCCTCCTACGCTGCCAAACGTCTCGTCGTCTAGACCTCCTAGACCGCCAGCTCCAGCATCGGAAGAAGCATCAGGAACCCAAGGCTGTAGCTCCCGTTCACCTGCTTTGGCACCGGCACGTGAGATATCGGTATCAGTCTTGAACGTTGCACCTCCATTGGTATTTACGCGTCTCCCTCCTCCTCCCGCTGTTGCTCCTCCACGGTTGTTCGGGCGGCGTTGTGCTCCTCCTCTTGTATCGGACATTGCTGGTTGGCTGGCTGGCTGGGTGAAATCGCAAAGAACAAGGAAAGGAAGCGGGAAAGGAGCAGGAAAGAGGAGCTTATCACCTTCTTCTTCTTCCCCGCGCGGGCCCTGGGCCAATCCCCGGCGGAGGGGAGTGCGCGGATGCAGATTGAAAGGGAGCATTATTAGGTAATAAACACGCGCAGGGAGGGTACATCATAACATCTTTCTTTCCTTCGTCCATCTGCATCAACAACACGTATGAACACTATGTAGCAACAACAACCATGGAACACACAACACGTCGTCCGGATTATCTGAGAAAGTTGGTCGTCGTAGGGGATGGTGGGTGTGGAAAGACGTGTTTGTTGACCGTGTTTGCCGAAGGGAGGTTTCCAGAGGTGAGTGGTTGGCGAGCGATGTGTCTTTCGAGCGGAGCAAGAATCAGACCGAGCGCAGCGAGATTCTTGCGCTGCAGGCTACGACTCCGCAGGACTCTCCAGGCCGTCGTAGGACGGCCGAGTATCGTCGCCTTTGCCGAGCGCAGTGAGCGCGAGTGTCAGTGTTTCCGTCTTCCGAGAGCGGCGTAGGCCGCTCGAGAATCAGTCTATTTGCTCCTCGAGGCCGTCGTGGGACGGCCGAGTGCGCGAGCGCGAGAATCACCACTCCTGCCTTCTCGAGTCCATCGCAGGACGGACGAGCGCTATTGTGTATGTCTTCATCGAACGAGGCAAGGCTCGCTTTCACGCGGTCGGCGTAGGCAATTCAGTACCAAGTTCCTACCAGGCCGCGCCGCACGGTGGCGGACGATATTCAGTGCCGACTTCTACTAAACCGTCGGATCTTCGCCGACACAACCGATGGCGATCAAGCGGAACAGCGTGATAGCGCGTACGTATCCTTCTACAGACTATCCATGCCGCTCTCCCTTGACCTGTGGAATAACACGGCACGATTTAGAGGAAGGCAAAGACCTTCCGCTCCTAGCGTACTCAGTGCTCGACTTCTGCTCCTCTCGGTTGCAACGTTGGCGCTAATACTACAATTCTGTGATACTCCCCGGCTTCCTTTACGAATACCTCCCGACTCGTCTCCGACTCCTACTATCTCGCCTCGCCCCCTCACCTGGGCTCTGCCTCGCCGCCTTCCTCCTCGCTTCCCCGCCCGACAGGAATACGTGCCCACAGTATTCGAAAACCTGTGCAAACTCACGCCCTCACCGTTAGACCCGACCAAAACCGTAGAACTCGCGTTATGGGATACAGCAGGCCAAGAAGACTTTGATAGGATTCGGCCGCTGAGTTATGCCGGCGTGGACGTCGTGTTGATCGTTTTCGCTGTGAATTACCGTACAAGCTTGGACAACGTGGTGGACAAGGTCAGTCTTTGGTCTTCCCTTCCCCATCTACCCTCGCCTCGCCTCGCCTCGCTTCTCTAACCTGACTACTCCTGCACGCACGCAGTGGGCACCCGAAATCTCCCATTTCACACCATCAACCCCACTCCTCCTCATCGGTACCAAAATAGACCTGCGTGCCTCGCCAACCGAACTCGGACTCTTACGCGCGCAAGGGACATCACCAATCACCGCCTCGGAAGGAGATCAGGTCGCAAAAGAGATTGGAGCGCGCGGGTACCTGGAGTGTTCGGCGTTGACGGGGGAAGGCGTGCAGGAGGTGTTTCGAGAGGCGCTGAGGATCTGTCTAAAGGGTCGTGCAGGGAGGAAGAGGGATGCTGGTGCCTCTGGAAGCAGTAGTGGCGGTGGGGAGCGGAGGAAGCGTAATTGTGTAGTGTTATGATCTGGCTCTCTGTGGTCTCGTTGTTTCTGGTTGTATGTTCGCCCTTTATGTGTGCGTCGTCGAACGCTTACCCCGTATACCCTAGCAATCGTCTGGCAGCGAGCGACCGACTGCAGGATTGACTTCTAGGATACAGGACGATGGCGTTCATGCACATGCGTGTGTGAACGATTAACGCGGACTTCTCGGCGGCGTCAGAGGACACCGCCGGTTGACTCGAGCGCACAACGCGTCTGCATGGATAGGGAATCCGCAGCGGGCTCTCCAGGAAAGGCGACTTCCTTGATTATCGACTTCCATCGCTCTCAGAGTGTTCGCGATAAGCGTCGCGACTTATCGCGAACTTCTGGACCTTCTAATTCGACTCGCCTCCGATGCGACCATTCCTATAGAAGGCGTGACGACCGCTGACAGACGTGCCACTGTGACACGCCTTCTTGCTATCGAACGGATGGAACCGAAACGAACAGATTCGTTCTTTGGTAAATCAGCACCGCCTCAGACACTTAAAGGCATTTCTTGCGGCTTCCATGACGGTCAAACTCATTAATAGACCCAATGAGCGATCGGCAAAGGGTGCTTTATCGTTGAAAGAAGAATCATGATCTTCCGTCTTTCTCCGAGCTCCAGTTCATCTGATTCGATTGTTCGGTTTGTCGCAACGATATAAGGCTGCGACTACATGGATTTGCTCGAGACCTTCGGTTGACCTGGTCTTCGACAAGAAGTTATCCCTTCTCCAAGCAACATCACTTACTCGCATCGTGACGACAACCACAAGCACATCAAGCTAGCATGCCTCCAACACCAGTCATTGAAGGCTTTTCATCATGTGGGAATGTTCCCTTAGAAGAGACCGGGTTTTGTTTATTCTGGGAGCAGGTTTTCGGTGCTGACAGGCCCCATAGCCTAACAGGCAACATCGCGGTTTGGCTGATTGAGCTCACCATGTCCCAGCTAGAATCGCATATTCAAGAGAGCCACCGGCATCAATTCTCGCATCAGACTGTGGAAACAGGATTGTTCGTCTTGCACTGAAGGCGACCGCGTGACGACTTGATTGCTATCGAAAGTTTGACGCAGGGTTTGGGCCCAGAACTATGGAAGCTGTTCGAATATATCTTCACAGACATTCCATTCGTTGGACGGGATCGAGCAAGATTACTTCACGCATGGCTCTCCAAAACAGTACCGCTGAATATGGGGAGCATTGAGACGTTGGATGACGAGATCTTGAACATCTCAAGGGCGAACACCGGAGAAGGCGTGGATGTGTCTGACTTGACGTACGGCTCAGATTTAGTCATGTCGGACGATAGCTACCGGTTAACACTGAAGCACATGATGCGGCAACTCGAGGGCGAATGTGACAGCTTCGGCCTTAGTCTACCCCTCCTTAAGCCATCTGATATGGGAAGGACGAGCGGAGCTACCAGGGCTGGTCAGGCTTCGCATCTTACGGGGACGCAACAGAGCGAACAAACCGGGGCGGCTCATTCTGGGTCGCAATCAAGCTCTTATTGAAACCTTTAGTCTGCGCATCATTGTTTCCAAATCAGTGTAATTTGTGAGCCATATCGTCCACGTATAATGAAGTTGAGCTAGCCGTTGAGCTAGCCGGGTCGTTATGTTTCCTTGATTCGGTCGGCGTGAGCCAGAAGACGATACATGCGGCTCACGACGGCTCGGTCGCCTCGAATATGATGTTGTCAGGGCCTGCTCAAATGACAATATATGTATCGCCATATCTTTCCTTATACAACAGGTAAATGCTAGGCTGCATTCAGGTGATTTATATTGCTTGTTGGTCGAAGGAGGCTCCTTACGAAAGAACTAAGCCTTGACAGTTTCGCGCATTTCACACGTTGAGCGTTCCAATTTGAGGGATTCATCTGAGCGATTCACCGAACGACCAAAAGAAGGGGTTCTTCTGGTTGAATATAATAAAGAAACGTTTGTGCATTTATATCAGGTGCTGGATAGTGTAGCGGTTAGCACCTTTGGTTTTGAGCTTATCTGTTCGGTTCCAAATAACCCGAGTTCGAATCTCGGTCCGGCATATCTTTTTTGGCTAACTTGTGGCCCGCACGGTACGAAACTGCCACTATTACCCTACCACGTCTGCTCAATCTCTTAGACTTTAGCAGCTACCTCAGCTCTGATCTCTCAAAAGTCAAGTCGATTTGCACCACATCATCAACCACTAACCCGCCCCACCATGCACCGGCTGGTGACCCTTTTTTGAGGCACTACTACATGTCTCTGCGAGAGGGTTGCTCCGACGTCAGCCGACTCCCTTATGCCAGTACATATTTTGCGAAAGCAGGCGACATCAGCCCGCATAGAGGGCAGTTCGTGGGACAGACACTTCTACTTAGGAATACTTGTCGCTCCCAGGCGCCATACTAGCTGTAATCAAGTCCTTCACTGCGGTCTTGTACCCATTCGCTTCTTCATCGTGCTTCCGCAGAAGCAGTCCCAGCCTCTCCGTTGTTCGGACCACTCGAATGGCTGCAGAGACTGGAAACGCAGCCTGGAACGACAGCCGCAATTGTACCCTCAAATCTTGAACATGTTCCTTGAGGGTATCTGCTAGTAACCGCCATGTCATAGAATGTTCTAAAGTTCTAAAGCTGTTGATTGTCTTTATGTCATTATGCTCTTAGTTGATACAACGTTTGCGCCTTGAGAGAAAGGTTTGTTACAAAGATTCGACCTAAGAGATTCACGGTGAAAAGTCAGGCAGTTAGCGAGCGCCCAAACCAAAATCGGAGCTTTTCACGCATGCTTACCTCCTTGCCTGTGATGGTTCGGATAGCACCAGGGGTAGCCATACCACCGGTACCGAAAGCCTTGGCAGCGACTTCGGCGGCTTGTGTCAACAGGGTTTCCTTTCGAGCGTAGTATCGGATCTGCCAGGCAAAGATGTTAGCACACAACTCATTACACAGTCCACTGCTTTCCATTCAACCGAATACTCACCTCTGTGGGCTTGATCTTCAGCACCGAAACTCGAGGGTCGTTACCGGACCCATCGTGGACTCCATCTCCCAAATCCGCAAACCAAGCCTTTGTTGATGCGCTGTAGTACTTGGCAACCTCGGATCGGTCAGTGGTTGTGACGGCGTTTCCGGCAACAGAGATCCAGTCACCACCAACGGGTTCGAGGAAAGCGACGTTGACGTCCTGGTCGTGCTTCATCTCGTCGTCCTTGTGCGAGGTGTTGTCGTAGATGTAGACGAGCTGGAGCTTGTCAGTGCTAGCGGGGTACATGGCTCGGGAATGCTGCCATCAGACAAAAGGACGAGGGTAAGAGGATGGATCGCCAGCAGCATATACCGTCGATGCACTCACCAAGCTCTTTCCGTCCGTACCAACGGTAGTCAACATAGAGGTGCCGACCTTCTTCATAATGGCCTGGACTTCAGCGACCTTGTCCGCCAGAGGGACATTCTCGTTCACAGACTGCTTGGAGTATCTATCGATGGAGGATCAAAAGTCAGTGCGGTCCACTTGCCTGGTTTTACACCTCCTGTCACTCACTCGTCGTTTCCCATTTTGATAGCGGTAGATTGAAATGTTCTAAATGCGGTGATGGGTGTGGAAGTGCGAAGTATGGATCGTCGAGTGACAAGTGAAAGCATGCTTTTTATCGTGGGACCGGTTCATCAGCTGATCTTGCCGTCCACGTCTTTCCTTTATATACCGGACCGTACAACCCCATAGGTTCGGCCACTTCGGACCACCTTGACGTCATACTCAAAGGTATGACTAATGATCGAGGATCGCGCTAATTTGATTCCCTTTGCGCTACATTAGAGCCAAGAACGCAGGAGAGAGCTGTCTTGTTATGTCTACTCGTACAAAGACAATATGGAAAATACAACGTTGAAAATACAAGTCTCGTTTATACCATACACGGCAGCTGTGCCTCTCCAGTCCATCCGCGACGACAACCGAAACGCCTCGACGACACCTTCAACCCTGCTATACATCTTTGCCAAAACTCTCGACTGCCGTTACCCTCGTACCCTTCAGCTCTCAACATCACTTTCGACAAACAAGTCCTCTCTTTCACTTCAACTTCCTGCATGCTGTCCTTGAGCGCTTCGGACACTAGCTGTTGACCGAGTCCCAGACGGCGCGAAGCAGGATGTACGGCAATCGCTTGCATATGAGAGATTACCGATTCCGATCCGGAACGTGTCTTGCGATATATCACGAGCGCCAGAATGGGTAGTGATTGGTCAAGTGAAGAAAAGTCGAGCGGGGTGTTTGCTTTACGTCCCGGTGAGTCGTTATCCGATGGATATGGTTGAATGGCCAATGCCGCGACGCCAGAGCTACCGAGATGGATTCGCAGTGGAACACCAGTCCCGAATTCAGGCAAATACTGGTCCTGCAATGTGGCCGTATTAGCTACTGGGTCAATCACAACACCCTTTATTCCACTGTGACCTACCAGGAAATCCTCGACTACATCCACATCCCTCATCCTCACCCGACGTATCGCCAGTTCCTGGGAACGTTCATTCCCAACTTCTGGACTCGATAGCACTTCGTCTTTCCTTTCCGCCAGAACGCCCAGTTCAACCGCGTTCGTGACCGGTGCCGAAACTCTTTGCTTCTTCCTTGCCGGTTCACCGTGCTCTACTTTGACAATACCCGTCACAGACGAGCGTCGGGAAGCCGGTTTCGGTATTGTATCGACGTCATCTTCTGATGTCTGGGAGGAGAGTGAGATACCAGTGTCAACGACAGGACAGGCGGGAGGCAGTCGTTGTACTGCTTCGAGGGGAAGAAGCGGGAGCCACGTGAATGGAGTTGGCTTGGCAACTTGATGTATCGTGCTCTTTGCATGTGCCGTTTCTGTTGTTGAAGCAGGTTGTTGCCATATATTGAATGTGAATCTAATATCCAACTCGTCCTCAACGACCACGTTCGGCTTTCTTGTTGACTTCCAGAGGTTGTTATGGACCACATTGTGCTTCGCATCCATGGATACACGGCCAAAGTTAAGATGTATGCTTTGCACGCACGCTGTCATGGTGGTGGACATTGCGGTATAGTTGTTGTGTGACGTCGGCGACAGGTGCGGTCGTCGTTACTGGATCTGCTGAAACAAAGGAAGACTATTGTCGGCCGTTATACGCCTTACGTCGGTACTGAGAGTGCTGAGCATGAGATGATTACGTCTTGAACGATACCAAAACAAGTGCGGTTGTCGATGCTAGCAGATAGAAATTAATCTGCCCTTGTTTCACATGTTTGGCCCGCAGCGGACAAGCTGACGAGGTGGAGATGCAAGGTCCCAGCCTGAAGCAATGCTGATTCGAATAACACAGTTCCGTCTCCGCTTGCTTTGCAAAGTATCTGGTCCCAGTCAGGCGACCTTCCGTCTATTTCATACCGTCTTCCGGCCCGTTCCCCGCTATTGAGCCACACATCCTCCGGCCACCGGCCAAACGTGCTCCCGAGGCAGTTCGTGCGACCGAGTTTTCACAAGTCTTGCAAGGCGTGTTTCCAAGTCGGCTGAACAATTGGCTGAACAGTTTGCTGGTTGCTCGGACTTACCGCCGCCATCCAGGAGTCTTTCTACAACGTCTCGTTGGATTCCCCTTGCTGAGTCCTCTACTCGGATTGCACTTTGGAGCCAAAATATTCAAGTAAAGCACGTAGGATGGCTTGCTGGACAGAGTCGAGCATCGACTTGTTGTGGATAGCGCTCGTCGTTGGTCACAACAACGGAGTGAGGCCTGTGTTCGAGGTATGACTGGCCTCGTGAAGACATGAATGACATGCAACTAGGTTTATAGCCTACTGCCATACATACGAAGCACAGCATATCCTATTCTTACTTGTGGGTGCGGCATATATTGGCAGAAATAGAACCATCTCCAGCATATCATCAACGAACAGCCATCCCACTACACTCCCTTACACCGATACGCTCTAACCATAGTGCCTTGCAAAGCGGACGATCATACGTGTAGTCTGTCGCTATCAACCATCCTCCAAGGACTATGAGACGTACCAAGACGTATACCAAGCGACATGGGCCAGGAAAATATACCATGCAAACGATATGCAAACCTGCTTCGGCTTTCCCGCCGTAATCCCAAGTTCAGCGGAAGCGGGTTGCTTCTGCACTCGATCAAGTCAAGTCGTCGATATCAGCGATAACGATTATCAGCTGCGAAGCTGCGAGCCAAGGTCACGCCGGGCTGCGCAAAATCCCGAGTCTTGCCGAGAAATCGGGAAGAATCGGGACATTCCAACCACCGCCTTTCAGCGGAATGTTAAGGTCCATTTGCGCGAGTCACCTCTGACGGACATCATGTCCTTGGAACTATCGGAGTTAGGCTCGAGGCTTTCCTGGTCGATATGGCTGTTCTCAGCTTGCCGATCAAGCGAGATGAAACGGGCAACGGAAGTGGGGTATAGAAATTCGAAAATCGCGGGGCTGGTCGGGTCAGGGAAGATGGTTCGTCATAAAGATTCCCCTCACATGACCTGACCTCGATACTCCGGAAATACAATGTCCTGTTGTATATAACAAGAGGTCTCGTGTCTCCTTCCTCAACCAATCTCCCTCCTTTGATTTCCCAACAATCACCTAGCTCTTGGTAAGTCCATTCCTACACCGAAATCCGGGACTCCACAGGCTGATCCAACTTTTGCTTCCGACCACCTTTGTTCACCTGCTCTTCTGACCGTCTTTAGCAGCTTATACATACCCACTTCCTGGACTGCTACTGCTCAATACACCGCTCTTGGTGAACCGTCCCACTTTACTTTATTTTCAACCAACAAACGAATCTACAACATGCCTGCTATCCATCGAGCCAACACCGGAGTTACCGGTAACGAATGTAAGCATTCTAGGCGACTTGTCAAAGGACATCCTACTGACCTCCCGCTCTTTCCCCGTCAGTCATCGGCAAGGAAGTCGAATACTTCTCGCAAGCCGGTTTCGACATGGACAAGATTCACATCAAGCGAAACGCTCCTGTCGCCGCATTGTATGAAGATGCCATCATGAATGAAGGCGCCGTCATCT